TGAGGAAGGGGAGAGGCCACCCCCACTACGCTGCTGCTGTATTAATCTCTTCAATTAGCACCATTACAAACCCGTCAAGTAGGCTGATTACAGTAATGGTCACCAGCGCCATACAGGCAGCAGCACCAAGAGCAGGGGACGCTGGGGCCTAGGAAACCAATCTAACCGATGCACCAGCAGCAGCAACACACAACAATACAGTCTGTCTGCAGTCTGGCTAATTATGAAAGATGGAAACAATAACCACTGGCGCTTTGGAATCGCTAGAGTCACCAGTAGTGGAAATGCTGCCATTGACATGAGCAGAATAGCATGAAAACAACTTTACCACAAAAGGTGATACATTTGTACTTGAGTATCATCTTGCTTTTTATCAAATCAGATTGTTTTGTGCCTTGGGACTGTCAGAGGTCATTGCAGTCTCAACATTCTTACTTGGTCCCAACGAACTTTTGATTCAACCTTCAAAAGGAGGCTACTCCCCGAGTACGTTACGTACCCCAGTGTCGCTCTCATTGAAGAGAGGAGGGATTTCAGCGACACTGTCAGTCCATGGGGAGCTTATTACACTTAACGTGGACCAGACTACCTGCTGTGAATAATTAATGGAGCCATTTCAGATTGCTCTGCATATGCTATTAAAACAAGAGTGGAGAAAGAGGAGGATGAGGTGTGTCCTTTTAATAGAACACTTTGTTTTAGTCCTCTGAGCTAACTTTAAGTAGAAACACTAGAGGCTAAAGCTGACAAGGCAGCAGCTACTCTTCCTGGGGTTCAGCAACATTAAGGCAGTTACATACAATCTAAAATATTACATAACATTATCTTTCATAACACTTTTCACAACACATTGAGTGTGTGCCCTCAGGCCACTACTCTACTACCAAATACAGTGCATTCGGAAGGTTTTCAGACCCCTTGACTTTTTCCACTTTGTTACGTTACAACCGTTTTTATTTTATTTTATTCCCCCTCAATCTACACACAATACCCCATAATATCAAAGCAAAAACAGGTTAAATGTTTTAACAAATGTATATATATTTTAAAAAATGAAATATTACGTTTATATAGGTATTCAGACCCTTTACTCAGTGCTTTGTTGAAGCACCTTCGGCAGCGATTCCAGCCTCGAGTCTTCTTGGCTATGACGCTACAAGCTTGGCACACCTGTATTTGGGGAGTTTCTCTCATTCTTCTCTGCAGATCCTCTCAGGCTCTGTCAGGTTGGATGGGGAGCGTCGCTGCACAGCTATTTTCAGGTCTCTTCAGAGATGTTCGATCTGGTTCAAGTCCGGGCTCAGGCTGGGCCACTCAAGGACATTCAGAGACTTGTGCTGAAGCCACTCCTGCGTTGTTCTTGGCTGTGTGCTTAGGGTCTTTGTCCTGTTGGAAGGTGAACCTTCTCCCCAATCTGATGTCCTGAGCGCTCTGGAGCAGGTTTTCATCAAGGATCTCCCTCTACTTTCGTTCATCTTTTCCTCGATCCTGACTAGTCTCCCAGTCCCTGATGCTGCCACCACCATGCTCCACCGTAGGGATGGTGCCAGGTTTCCTCCAGACATGATGCTTGGCATTCAGGACAAAGACATCAATCTTGGTTTCATCAGACCAGAGAATCTTGTTTCTCATGGTCTGAGAGTCCTTTAGGTGCCTTTTGGCAAACTCCAAGCAGGCTGTCATGTGCCTTTTACTGAGGAGTGACTTCCATCTGGCCACTACCATAAAGGCCTGATTGGTGGAGTGCTGCAGATGGTTGTCCTTATGGAAGGTTCTCCCATCTCCACAGAGGAACTCTGGAGCTCTGTCAAGAGTGACCATCGGGTTCTTGGTCACCTCCCTGACCAAGGCCCTTCTCACCCGATTGCTCAGTTTGGCCGGGCGGCCAGCTCTAGGAAGAGTCTTGGTGGTTCCAAACTTCTTCCATTTAAGAATGATGGAGGCCACTGTGTTTATGGGGACCTTCAATGCTGCAGAAATGTTTTGGTACCCTTCCCCAGATCTGTGCCTCGACACAATCGTGTATCGGAGCACTACGGACAATTCCTTTGACCTCATGGTTTGGTTTTTGCTCTGACATGCACTGTCAACTGTGGGACCATATATAGAGACAGGTGTGGGCCTTTCCAAATCATGTCCAATCAATTGAATTTACCACAGGTGGACTCCAATCAAGTTGGAGAAACATCTCAAGGATGATCAATGGAAACAGGATGCACCTGAGCTAAATTTCGAGTCTCATAGCAAAGGGTCTGAATACTTATGTAAATAAGGTATCAGTTTATATATATATATATATATATATATATATATATATATATATATATATATATATATATAAAATACATTTCTCTCAACCAATCATCAGTCATTTGTGTAAGTGCCGTGTTTGTTGAATGTCCTTCCCTATAAGCTTGATGATTGTCTGTTGTCAATTTGTTTATGGTAAAAAAAAAATATCCATAAGTTTACTAAGGGTTGGTAACAGGCTGATTGGTCGGCTATTTGAACCAGTAAACGAAGCCTTACTATTCTTGGGTAGCGGAATTACATTTGCTTCCCTCCAGGCCAGAGGGCACACACTTTTCTAGTAGGCTTAGATTGAAGATATGGCAAATAGGAGTGGCAATCGTCCGCCATTATCTTCAGTAATTTTCCATCCAAGTTGTCAGACCCGGTGGCTTGTCATTGTTGATAGACAACAATCATTTTTTCACCTCTTCCACACGCACTTTACAAAATTCAAAATTACAACGCTTGTCTTTCATAATTTGATCAGTTATACTTGGATGTGTCTTGTCAGCATTTGTTGCTGGCATGTCTAAGTTTGCTAATCTTGCAAATTGAAAAAATAATTAAAGTAATTCGCAATATCAGTGGGTTTTGTGGTGAATGAGCCATCTAATTCAATGAATGATGGAGCTGAGTTTGCCTTTTTGCCCAAAACTTCATTTAACCTTTTAAGGATCGGACAGTTTTTTTTCCCATTTTCGCCAAAAATGACATACCCAAATATAACTGCCTGTAGCTCAGGACCTGAAGCAAGGATATGCATATTCTTGATACCATTTGAAAGGAAACACTTTGAAGTTTGTGGAAATGTGAAATTAATGTAGGAGAAAATAACACATTAGATCTGGTAAAAGATAATACAAACCCCAAAAACATGCATAATTTTTTATTTTATTTTTTAGCATCGTTGAAATGCAAGAGAAAGGCCACAATATAATATTGCAGTTTTGGCGCAATTCAGATTTTGGCCACTAGATGGCAGCAGTGTGTGTGCAAAGTTTCAGATTGATCCAGTGAATCATTGCAATACTGGACTATTTTGTATCAAGTCTGGCCAAATGTGCCGAATTGGTCAATTTATACATTTTCAAGTTCATAACTATAGAGAACATAAAAAAATGATATGGTAGTACAAAATGTAAGTTTACACACTGCCAGGAATGTCATACATGATGGATCATTACCTTATACACTAACTTTCACACATATAGATGGCCAGGCGGGGTGGGTGTGGAGCCAGAGACAGCAGGGGTTCAAACTGTAGAACCCAGTTCCTACATTTGAATATAAAAATTGATTTTTATCATACAAAACTATGCTACATTTGATCTCTGGGATCCTTAGGATGACAAATCAGAGCAAGATTACTGAATGTAAGTACATTATTTACTTTCAGAGGTGAACGTATCAAACCAGTTGTCGTGATAAGTTTTTTGTTGTTGCGCACTCTACTCAAACAATAGCATGGTATTTTTTCACTGTAATAGCTACTGTAAATTGGACAGTGCAGTTAGTTTTAGCAAGAATTTAAGCTTTCTGCCCATATAAGACATGTCTATGTCCTGGAAAGTTTGCTGTTACTTACAACAGTCATGCTAATCACATTAGCGCACGTTAGCTCAACCGTCCCGTATACGGGACACCGATCCCGTGGAGGTTAAGGTGTTCCAAAGTTTTCACTATCATTCTATTGGCTGCAGATACTTTTTTTTGTGTGCTAATTTCATACAATTCTACACATTTTGCCATGGCTTATGCCATGTTGTTATCCTTTCTGAGTGTCTCAAACATTATAACAAGATCAATGGGGGCCCCCATGCCATGACATTTCTTGAATTTTAGATTCTCCGACTGCCTACTTATTTTGGTGATTGCTAATTTTTTTTAAATCTTAAAAAATATATATAGTTCCATTATATTTTCTACATACTTTACATCTGGTTTTAGTTTTTTAATTCATTAAAAAAATAAAAAATTCAGAGCGAGATTTTTTAATATATATTTTGGAGGGGCAACAATGATTTAGCAGGGGCAGCCAGCCGCTGCTAAATGAATATAGTGAATACTGAACTGAGATGCACTGATTGAATAGATGATGGTGTTGTCTACATGGCAGTCCACCCACCCAACCACCTTCAAATCGAGCTGCAGCTGAGACTGTAATAAGTAAAGGGGCAAATAGGAAGCCGGTGGGCCCAGTATGAATATTTAAATCTGCTACCAAATCCAGTGTTTGGTTTCAGATAGAGAAAATGAGTATGACCCGTTCCCTGCCCCCACTACACAAACACATTCCCCCCAATGTTGCCTGCAAATGCCAATTTGTCCTCAAACAGCTTCTCGGCCATTTAGACAGTCTCTGGCTGTGTGGACCTGATAGATGGGTAATCTTGGAGAAGATAAATTATATCTACCATCCACTCCTCTATTGAGGTGCCGCATAAGCAAACAATGCACCACAGCTGTGTGTAAACTTGAGCATTCGTGTAGAATATTGATATTCATTCCCATTATAGCAACATGGCTGAGCAAAACCTTGCGATTGCAGTTCCAATATATATATATTTTTCCTACTCAGTGATGGCAGTTATGTTTTATAAGAACTGTAATATCAATCAAACCTTACAGCTATCTTACTGGTAGAGGGCCATATCTTGAAGACATTTTAGTACTGACAGGACATTATGTGTAGAGAGAGGGAGACCCACCTCTTGTATGGTTCTGCTACCAGGGAAGTTGAGGTTGTAGTCTCTCTGGGCTTCACGGTGGCTGATGACGAGCAGGAAGTTCTGATTTAACGACTCCTGAAGAACGCTGGAGAAAGAGGAATAAAAAAACAATACAACTTCAGAGTCAAGCGGAGAACAAGCTGAGACAAGTCAGACACTTATCCCTGCAGTGAGGTGGCTCCCTGCGTCTCCACTGGGGCTCGTGCCCACTCCTCCGTCTCTGTTCAGACAGGCCTGGTGCTGAGTCCCTCTGCTGCTCAGCAGCCCCAAGCAGCCTGCTAGCCTGCTCCCTGACCCAGCATGGGGTGGCCAGGACACGGGGCCACAGCAGTGACATCACACACACACACAATGTGTTCACAGCCCCCTCAACATGGCTGGTCTGGAAGATGTATTGATTTGTCAGACAGATTTTTCCTCGGAGTTGCTACTATACATTGGGCCAGAGTGGTTTTTAAGGGAAAACAAGTAGAGATTTCTGGGTCCTAGCTTGCAGCTATGAGCAATGACTGAGGATATGTGCCATACAGGGAGACACTGTGTGCTTCACAGAGAGATTAAAGTTTTGGAAGCTTCACTTATAATAAACGTTGAGGTTAAGTAGCGGTTTGCGCAAACGTTCAGTCTGTGTTCGTGAATATGAATCGGAAGCTTAGTCCAAGCCAGGCAGTTAATCAGAGCTCAACTTGAAGCGAGGAGGAAGAGGAGAGTCGGAATTAATATGTAGTACACACATTAATTATGCAATCACTGCCTTAATCTGCACAGATCTGGACGAGCTTATGTTAACAGAAGCTCAAATTTACTGTAATGACAGCATATTTACATTGACTAAAACTACGAAATCAATATGTAAATGTAATGTTTGTTGTAGCTAACCGGGAAGATTGAAAATGTGTGGTGTGGAAAGACTGGATGCATATGTAATGTGTTGAGCAGGGAGAGGCAGGCAGGAGAGAGGGAGGAATGGGGACTCATAGGGGACCTAGCTAATATCGCATCGCCATGATTTGTTTGGACACAGTCCCGACTGATTCTGGCAGACTAAACCGCAAAAGGGAAAAGTGGGTAGCTGTGTTGTAGCTTTACCATAAGCCATTGTGAAGACAGCAATAATAATATGGAGACTCATGGCTTTACACAGTAAACACTTTGAACGTGAGCGGACTATGTGGCCCATACTGTGAGGCATTTGTCTCCTCTGTAAGTTAGCGATTTGGCTTCCTGCAAGTTGGTCGTATTGAGATAAAAGACCTATGCAAATCTACAGAGGAGAATTAATATCTTTGCTTCCAGGGTCCTACTACTGACTCAACAAAGTGCTTTCAGCTCCGCTCCTGATGTTCTCTCTACACTTGACTCCCATCAGGCTGTCCTGCGTCTGAGTGTTTGCTCCAGTAGTCAGTGACCTCTATACATGGAGGCACCGGGCCGGGCCATGTCCTCTCAGGAGTACTTGACACGGCATGAGGTGCTCCGATTAAAATGTCACTTAACTTTATAGACAGAAAATAAACCATTTTGCAGGGGAGGAGCAGTCTCAACAGATTGGTTTCATTCTGAGATAAGCCTCCCTGCCTGACTGAGGGTCCCCAGGCACAGAGCAGACACACAGACCTCATTAAAATAGCCCTGCCAGAGAGAGACGCACACTTTTCCCTTTACGTTAGAACAAAATACACACATTAACCATCTCATTTGTGATGTATGATCTAAAGAGGTCAAACTACAGCCAGACATGCATAACCATCCTACCTCCACATTTTGTATCAGCAACAAAATAGGCAAATACGCAATCTCCCATGATCTGATATGTCTTGGTCTGCTATTTTGTCTCAAGACCAACCAGCATCTGAGGCATCAGTATCTCTGAGGGGATAACAGACAGGGGAGGGAGGGACGCTGCAAATGAATACCAAATGTCTAATGATTCATTTGTATTTCACATTCAGAGTTCAAATTAAAATAACCTTCAATAAACACACTTCCTGGAAGCAACAGAAATAGATGAGTCGCATTAAAATATTCAACACCTTACATTATTTATGCAAGAGATTAGCTCCATCTAGATACCCTCCTGTATTCACCGTCAGTCAACACAGACACCGGGAAACGTTTGTTTGGCTCAGGAGAGGATCTCTGTAACTACCTTTGAGGAGGGAGCGTTTGTCTGAAATCTCCAAAGCCTCCCAATTTATTTAAAATCAAACAGAGGATTGAAATGAGTGGGCCTGGTGATATGGATAACTATTTGATTAGTCTGTTTGGTTTAGGTGTGCAGAGATGTGCTTTGAAGTAATGACCTACTGTGGCTTTTATTTGTTAAGTTATGTCCCTTGTTAAGAAACTGCTCCCAATTATTACAAAGGAATAGGAACTAAATCAGAGGTAAAATGTTATTTTAAACTTAAGCAATCAGTATATTACATATGGACATAAGTACTCCTTGCATAGTAATACACACACAAACATCCAAGTGAAGTACTAAATACTGATGGTCTATTCCAGCAAGTAGTCAATGATTATTTCTGAATAAATAAATTACCACCAAATATAATTGCCTTCCATAACTTAAGGCAATAGTTTAATTGAAATTAGACTTTGTAGTAGGCAGCAAGCTGAAAAGCCAATGAAAAGTAAATACAAGTTGGAAATAACACGTAGGCCTAAATCAATTATGCTTAGTATGTCATTAACACATTTACATTACTACTTGAGTTAAGCAGGCTTGAATGCACCCTCTTCAGTACAACTAAAAAGGGCTACTGTACATCTCTGTTGTTCACCGTGATTAAAAAAAAGTGGTACCCAAGCTAGCCCTGCTAGTAGTGCCCTGACAGCCCAGTCAGTCTCCTGTTTCAGCAGGTATTAGTACAGGGTTTGGCAGAGCGTTGGGGATGGCAGATCTCTGACAACAGCAGACTAGCAGCTCTGTGAATGCGCTGCGACGGTTATTTTTAATGCCGCTGTGCTAACAGCTTGCCTGGCCTCCCTGTAGGAGGCCTGCTCCTCTGAGCGGTGTGATCTGTCACCCTCTTCCAGCAGCAAAGATGACAACAGGGTCGCCACACACCCCCACCAAAATAGTTTATGGAGGATAATGAGTGCCTAACACTGAACATGATAGCTATAGCACTAAGAACATTGGAAATTGTGCCACTAAGAGACATAGCCAGAAAAAGGCCATTAGCTGCCTGCTACACAGTCAAACCTCTACTTACTGGTTGTCAAAGCAGCACAGCCAACGGCAGCAGCAGCATTCTTTCTTTCTCGATATCAACCCCCTACATATCTGTGAGATATTACAGAACCCTATCCATACAAGGCATTGCAATATTTCACCCATGCCGGTATCTGCCCGTCTCTCTGTGCTTGATTCAATGGGTTCTGAGAGGAACACGGGGGAAGAAACATGAGACCAGCTGTATTTCGACCGTTGTCCTCCTGTCCGACACACGTCGGTGCACAATGACTGTTGTAGAACCGGAGTGACTCTTCATAATGCATGGCAGTGCCACGTGTCTATCTCCTCAGCAACCCCTCTGGGCCTGACAGCCTCCCTAATCAACACAGATAATTACACAGACACATCCCCTCCAGTTACAACCAACCACAGACACACTCCAACAGCACTTCAGCTCATCAACAATTACAGGAACAATGCCTTAGTGCCCTTCACACCGTTCTCACTCTACCTTCAGTGAAATGATGTTGCTAAAGTATGTTCAGATAAAGATTGTATACGTGTTCAATGTACCAAATCCTGACAAGCCTTATTGGTTTGGTTTGTTGCCATGCTGGTGAGCAGATGCACCAGAGAGCATTATTACAGTGGGTGGGATTTCCTTATTAATATGAACTTTATCTGGCTGATACAGATGAAATATCAGATCAGACACAAAACCAGCCTTCGTGATGGGATTATAGCTCAATGATGAGTAGTTTGACATTTTAGAAGGAAAGGTTGCAAAAGCCTCCTTGGATTCATAAAGCTTGGTAGAATGACCTTCTAGAGTGGCTTAATGGATCCCTCCCCCCATTGAATCTCAAATTTCTCTCAATATTACATGAGTGAAAGGCTGCTCTACTATTTGTATAGGAAGATAACATTTTCAGCAACAAAATAAAGCTTGGCAATGGCTACAAATACCGCAATGAAAACCATTATTTACATTACACAAACAATATTGCAGTTGGATTTCATTTCAAATGTCAAAATAAATGACAGAAGCCTCCTGTGCACAAGGGTCAAATATCTTTGTAAATATTCAAATCAAATTGGAATTTATTGTACAATATTCATGGGGTGGTATTTATTCCAGAAACTATTTTTTACCATTACTAGGTGTACAGTGCCACCTAGTGTTCAACCCATATGAAAATGGCTTTGGTGGCAAAGTGGTGCAGTCCTGTTGATTTACCAGTCCTTTTGATGTGGGCAGCACCACAACAATTAACAGTCAATGCTCACTGTAACAATCAATGCTGCTGCATATTGAGGTACTGGAGGGTATTGGGTAAACAGTGTCAGCTACATGCTGGGAATTGTTTGCCGGAGATAATGTGACTCAAAACAGAAAACAAAAGAAGAGTGTAAGTTGGTTACCTGTTTTGGCTGGTGCTGGCAGTGGGGGCGATATCTGGGGTGAGCACATACAGGCTGTTGTTCTTGGGCAAGTGTAAACTACGCAGAACCGTCTGAGGACACAGGGACAGACCAATAAATAACACATAGTTGTACTTTATCCATTCCCACAAGATGGGTGTGAGTGACATTTGTGAAACCTCATCCGATGTGAAAAATAAAATTAAGATAAAGCAAAAAAGATTGCAAAGAGAGTTTAAACATGCTAATTTCAAGAGGCATTACATTATCGAAACAATTATTTTGAGCGCAATACTCACACTGTCAGATACGTCTCCACTTTTCCAACCCTTTAACTGCATTTTTGATATGGGGACCTGAAGCTCTGTCTCAAGAATCTGTTTGATTTCCCCTACAAACACAAGAAAAGAAAAGAGGAAACAAGTTGTAGTATTAAGAAATGGCAGTTGAACATATCCCCACCATAAGATGGCAGTAATAGATTAGAAAATGTGTTTCCATTGTGTATTTATGAAATTGTACACCTTACAAGCAATTTACATTTGAGTAAAACATACTTAATACACACTACACATCTTCACAACATAAATTGTTTCAACCCTGGGTACAAGTGAATAGATTCTGAGAAATGGTTGAAAGTCTGAAAACGAAAGCACTATACCTTGGTGTTGTATTGACTAACATCGCTCCTTTTACCAGAAACGGACAATATTTTGGGTTCTCAGTAACACCACATCTGTAACACCCACATTTTATCTAAGCAAGCAGTAAGGGTGTGATGTATTTGTATTTATAATGGCAGCCAAGGCAGCAGTGACTCTTCCTGGGGTCCAGCTAAATTAAGGCAGTTATACCATTTTTAAAAAAAACATTACAACACATTCACAACAGATTTCACAACATATTAATGATGTGTAGGCCCATAGTGGAATATTAGTGTAGGAACCATGGTATGATGAGTAGTGTATGGTGAGAGCGTCTCCTCACCGACTGTGCTGCCCTCCTCTACGACCACTTCCACAGCGCGCTGGCGATACTCCACCCGGAAGTTGAGCATGCGCGGCTGCCACTCCACAATGTGTCGAGAGGGGAGGACGGGGCAGAAGGCTGAGGAGGATGGGGGAGAGGAGGAGGAAGACGATGATGTGGCTGGTGGGGCCACTGCTGCCTCTGCTGTTGCTGCTTGGCTGTGAGGCCCATAGATGTTGGCCCGGGACGCCTCGCTGGAGAAGTTACTGTGGGTTCAGAAAGTAAGCAGAGGGTCAGATAAAATGTCAACACAGGGAGCATCATGTAGTGCAGTTCAATATCATATTGAATTGTATACAGAGTTAATTGTGTCTATAAAAGTAGAACGTCTACCACCAAACTACAGTGTTATTCTCAGACTAGGCCTACATGTGCAATTCTACTCAACTCACATGCTATTTAACACCATTGAAATGCAAAAACAAAGCAAAATATTTTGTAAACTCAAACATTTAGACTATGTAGATTTTACTGAGCATTTCAATACTTTATCCATTGCAGAAAAAATACTAATTTATTATCCACTAAATAGGCTAAACCAGGGATCCAATATGTCCCGCGGGTAGTTTGAATAAAAAATCTAACTCAATATACTTTAAATTACCAAAACCAATAGCTCAAACTGATTTTTCTATAATTTTTCATGCTTGTTGCTTCTTCCCTGTCACATGGTCACAAGCAGGACTGAACAGAAATATTCAAAAACCACAAAATACCCACAGTCCCCTTCTGAGGCAGCAACAAGAGCCGCTCAGCAGCAATTCAAACAGTTTCAGAGTCAGTGTAAACAGGCTTTACTGGAAAATATGGGCAGGGCCCAACAGATGCTGAATTGTCTGCCACAGAGCAAATTCAGTCTTATTTTGCTGCAGAGGACAGACACACAAAACTTCTTTTTTCTCAGCCTCTCTCCCTCTCCATGTCTAAGACCTGAATTCCCCCGAGGCCCTGTCCAACACGGCAGTAAATAATGTATTTTCTCTCTCCCAACCCGGACAAAGACGCTTCTCTTTTCCTCGAGGGTCAGCACATATCGCGCTGGGAGAGGGAGCAGGGTGCCAGGGTCTTGCACAAAGGCTGTATTTATCCCACCTGATTACAATACCAAAAGGTTAAAGAAGTTGGGGGTTCTGAGGGCACGAAGGAAAATGTTACAGAGAGATCAATGTTACATGATAATGGCATAAAAACAACATATACCGTACACATAAACCACAAGTGAGGCTTGGATTCACCAACAGGCAAGAATTAGGCCTACCATCATAGGCAGGTGGAAATTACTGTGTTCAAGAGCAGAGGCTTGCTATTGGCCATAAACAAGGGTCAAACACTCAAAGGCTGCATGGACAAACACCTGTCCTACAGAGATCTGCACAGGTGCATACTGACCTCTTATAATCTAAGAACCACAGAGTAAGAAGTCTACAAGTATAGATGTCAGGAAAATTTGATAAAGTCATAATCAGCTATGCAGTATGCATTTACATATACACAGAAAACAAACTGACAGTTTGAGGTAATCCACCATTAGCTAGTAAATTCAGCGAGTGAAAAGGAGGTTCAGTGAGTGAAATAACAGCCAATACCGCAAATGAACACTTCCTGTATTTACACAAATTAGAAAACTAGAGTGCACTGATATTTCAGTTTCAGTATCTTGGTGCAAAACTGTTATACACAAATGATTGTCACTCATATCCATCGTAGAAGATGTTGGTGTGGTTGAGTTGTGCCCTCATCAGGGGTGTAGACAACCAAAGATGACCCATAACATGGTCTAACAATGAGGACATGCTATGCAATTTCTTTAACAGGATGAAAGAAGCAAAGTCAGAATTCACCCTAGACAGCAGGCTATACATTTCCCTTGCAACGTGATGGAAGGTTTTTGTAAGCATTCTAAACTACAACTTGAAACTTGGCACATTGACACTGAGGACCGTTGACCATTATGAGTGTTAAAAAGAATACAAACGTTTGTTCCATGGCATACATCTAGATGGCACTCTCCACCTATTCAATGTGTAGCAGGAGGCAGGCTCGGGGCTAAGAGCAGGCCTCCAGCTGGCTCTGGTCACCTTAATGGAGCCATTTACTGAGGAGGAGTGCCATCCTACGAGAGCAGCCCGGTGCCAGCCACTTAGTATACGGGCTGACTGCAAGTCACGCTGCCAGGCTCCATTCATAATTATGTGTGCCCTTAAGAAACCATGTTCTCATGCCCAAAGTCTTCAGAAACTCGCAAAATAAACAGTTTAACAGAATGTGCCCAGTCTGAATGTATTTGTTCTTCAGCTCAGTGTATTCATGAGTGCTGACTGACCGTTGAGCAAAAACGTGAACCACAATGCCTCTTACAGGCTTTTCTCAGTTAGTAACTGTTTTAATTCCAGCTTTTGGGAAGATATTCCTCTCTATGTTCTTCCACATAAAAACACTTTTGCTTCTGTTGATACTGTATCCTCAAATAGCATACCAAATACTATCAGAGTTTCATTTTTCTGCCTACCATTGAAATTCAGTAATTCAAAGCAATGTCAAGCCTACAACTTTGAACATCACCTCAAACTATAACCACCACCACAGTCTTTCACCTGATCTTGCCCAGCTATGGGCTACAAATCTGGTTGTTTGATTTACGGCTACTTTGGTGTTGAAATCTTGACTGAATAACAACATGACACTGAGCTTCCTGGGGGAAATGAGATCCAAAGCCTCAATTTCCTGCACTGATGATGAAAATGTATGCACTCACTAACTGGAAGTCGCTCTGGATAAGAGCGTCTGCTAAATGGCTAAAATGTAAAGATCACGATTGCTTCCATCATGTCACAGTTTGTGCCTACTCAATAGGCTTTGTACAAGAAAGAGACCTACATATTCAAGAGGTCAAGTGACTGATATAACCATTGACTACTACATATATCCTGAATCATCTGAACTCCTCAATCGTCATCAGGCCACACAAGGTTATTGCCGTTTTAAAACATAAAAAAAAAACTAGTTCTTGACATCTAGGTCTACACAGACAATAGACCACAGCTATTTTGGTTTGTTTCTGTGTAGCAGGTAGAAAGTCACATTGACGGTGACGCGTTTTTGCATATGGATTTGACTGTGGCACTATGCCATATGCTTAACTCCTGTGTACAAGTTGTGTTACCTATTTTTGTTTCGGTTAACATATGACTTTATGCAATATGAACACTGGATTGACTTCTGAAGAGGCAACAGTCATTTCTGTCATATTACCTTTGCAAGATCCCATTCTCTTGTGGCATTACACCATTGATGGCTGCCTGTAAAGAGAGAAAAGACCATGGAATAAAATGTTTTGTTGCAAAGTATTACACTCTTGAGAGCATGCATGTTCAAACACTGATAATCAACAGTAAATGTTGCCATAACTATCTACTGCCAGTTCCTGCCAATAGAATTACAGTGATTTGAATTTCAACGGCAACCTTTGGTAGCCATATGAGTGGCTGTGAGTGTCTCTAAAGCAAATATAATTCTGAAATTAATGTTACTGTGCTAGGATGATAGTCAAGGACACATTAGGTCTAGGCTATAGGCATGCATTGATGGAATGCTTTGGTGGGCTATTCTTTGTTCTTTATTTTCTTTTTAAAAAATGAGATTTTTATCATATTTGGACTCAATGCAAAGGGAATATAATGCAAGCACCTGAGGTGGCACTGGTGCCCGAACAATGATATGAAAACAGAGATGACAATCACACGAGAACAGATAATTGATGAGAAGGGAGGTTGAAGTCTGTCAGACCGTTGGCCTCAGAGAAAATGAGCTGATTTTGACAGTGAAACTGATTATGGGGAACTGTTGAGGACAGAGAGCAGCAAGAGGACAACGCTTGCAATGAGTTTATTTTGGCCCATTGTTAGGAGACCTATTGAGATGAGTGCTCTAGAACACAGGGAAATGTCCAGCAGTGTTTCCAAACATTACAAAATGTACCATAAAAAGTATTTTTTTAAGAAAAAGTTTTGTAGGTAGGTCTACTAGTAAAGCCACAAATCCAAGAGAAAGGGGCACCGAGTATTTAACTTGTTCGCTGTCCTATCCCAACACACAGGGTTCTTTTGTCCATTTTGCTCAACCTAACAGCACCGAAAAGGAACTGCAAGTCATCACATTTACAGGTGCATTTAACCACTGCTTAGGCCCTGCTTGCTTGCTTTGAAAAGCTGCCAGCACAAGAACAGCGCTCAGCTAAATATAGCCCACCCCCAGCCAACATACACTTTATGATAAAGGGTTACATTGTGGAAAAAATAAAACCATTCCACAAGGCTCAGTTTCATACCGCTCCTTTGAACCTCAAACTTTAAATCCAAACTGACAGGAGAAATTATTTATAAGCCCATTAAAGAGGGGGTGGTAGGTAGTACAAATTATGTTGTCTCACTAACTACCGGGGGGACATGGCAATGATGGTGCATTGTTGATTGAAACGTCACAATCAAGGTGCCGATACATCGCAGTAATAAGTGAACCATTTTAGTTAAAATAGGAAACAAACTGAAACAGGTAACGAAATCACATACTGTGTGCTTTTAGCGGCTATGCTTTTTGCTTCTTTGGTCATTAATTGGCTCAAGTTGAAGTAACTAGAAAACACCAGAGCAAGTGCTCACAGTTGTACTGTAGCATGATTTCATTTAGTCAGGTTCACCATGTAGACTAAGCCTTTGTGTATGACAGGAGTAGAGAATTGAGAATTAGACCTACCTAGGCCTTCATTTGAATCATGGCGCTGGAGGAGATGGCTGTCGTTTTTTTGTGTTATTTGTAACTTATTTTGTACATAATGTTTCTGCCACCGTCTCTTACGACCGAAAAAAGCTTATGGATATCAGGACAGCGATTACTCACCTCGTACTGGACAAAGATTTTTACTTCAACGAGTCGGACGTGAAGAATTTACATCAGACACCCGACAAGGCTCAAATCCCCGTCAATCACAGGAGAACGAGACGGAGCTATCTGGGACGTAGGTCGGGGTACCTTGTAAGGATCCGACGGCGAGTGGGAAATCTGCCTCTTCCATCAGTCCTATTAGCCAACGTACAATCATTGGATAACAAAATTGACGAGCTACGATCACGAATATCCTACCAACGGGACATTAAAAACTGTAATATCTTATGTTTCACTGAGTCGTGGCTGAACGACATGGATAACATACAGCTGGCGGGGTTTACGCTGCATCGGCAAGATAGAACAACGGCCTCCGGTAAGACAATGGGTGGTGGTCTGTGTATATTTGTAAACAACAGCTGGTGCACAAAATCTAATATTAAGGAAGTCTCTAGGTTTTGCTGCCTGAGGTAGAGTATCTCATGATAAGCTGTAGACCACACTATTTACCAAGAGAGTTTTCATCTATATTTTTCGTAGCAGTCTATTTACTACCACAAACCGATGCTAGCATTAAGACCGCACTCAATTACCTGTATAAGGCCATAAGCAAACAGAATAAATGCTCATCCAGAGGCGTCGCTCCTAGTGGCCGGGGACTTTAATGCAGGGAAACTTCAATCCGTTTTACCTCATTTCTACCAGCATGTTAAATGTGCAACCAGAGGGAAAGAAACTCTAGACCACCTTTACTCCACACACAGAGACGCCCTCCATTTGACAAATCTGACCATAACTGATTCCTGCTTACAAGGAAAAACTAAAGCAGGAAGCAACAGTGACTCGGTCAATAAAGAAGCGGTCAGATGACGCAGATGCTAAGCTACAGGACTGTTTTGCTAGCACAGACTGGAATATGTTCCAGGTTTCTTCCGATGGCATTGAGGAGTACACCACATTAGTCACCGGCTTCATCAATAAGTGCATCGATGACATCGTCCCCACAGTGACTGTATGTACATACCCCAACCAGAAGCCATGGATTACAGGCAACATCCACACTAAGCTAAAGGGTAGAGCTGCCGCTTTTAAGGAGCGGGACTCTAACCTGGACACTTATAAGAAATCCCGCTATGCCCTCCGACGAACCATCAAACAGGCAAAGCGTCAATACAGGACTAAGATTGAATCGTACTACACTGGCTCCGACGCTCGTCGGATGTGGCAGGGCTTGCAAACTATTACAGACTACAAAGGGAAGCACAGCTGCGAGCTGCCCAGTGACACAAGCCTACCACACGAGCTAAATCACCTCTATACTCGCTTCGAGGCAAGCAACACTGAAGCATGCATGAGAGCATCAGCTGTTCCGGAAAACTGTGTGATCACGCTCTCTCTGTAGCCGATGTGAGTAAGACCTTTAAACAGGTCAACATTCACAAGGCCGCAGGGCCAGACGGATTCCCAGGACGTGTACTTCGAGCATGCGCTGACCAACTGGCAAGTGTCTTCACTGACATTTTCAACCGGTCCTTGACTAAGTCTGTAATACCAACATCTTTCAAGCAGACCACCATATTCCCTGTGCCCAAGAACACTAAGGTAACCTGCCTAAATGACTACAGAACCGTAGCAATCACATCTGTAGCCATGAAGTGCTTTGAAAGGCTGGTCATGGCTCCCATCAAGACCATTATCCCGGAAACCCTAGACCCACTCCAATTTGCATACCGCCCCAACAGATCCACAGATGATGCAATCTCTATTGCACTCTACACTGTCCTTTCCCACCTGGACAAGAGGAACACCTACGTGAGAATGCTATTCATTGACTACAGCTCAGCGTTCAACACCATAGTGCCCTCCAAGCTCATCACAAAGCTAAGGACCCTGGGACTAAACACCTCCCTCTGCAACTGGATCCTGGACTTCCTGACAGGCCGCCCCCAGGTGGTAAGGGTAGGTAACAACACATCTGCCACGCTGATCCTCAACACGGGTGCCCCTCAGGGGTGCGTGCTCAGTCCCCTCCTGTACTCCCTGTTCACCCATGACTGCATGGCCAGGCACGACTCCCAACACCATCATTACGTTTGCCGACGACACAACAGTCGTAGGCCTGATCACCGACAACGATGAGACAGCCAATAGGGAGGAGGTCAGAGACCTGGACGTGTGGTGCCAGGATAACAACCTTTCCCTCAACGTGATCAAGACAAAAGGAGATGATTGTAGACTACAGCAAAAGGAGGACCGAGCACGCCCCCATTCTCATCGACGGGGCTGTATTGGAGCAGGTTGAGAG